GGTAAGTCATGAATCCACGTTTTTGCCTCGTTTTCAACTTCAACACGAAAGGACGACTCCAATTTTCAAGACCAATAGGGGTGTGTGAAACAAGCCAGAGTGGCTCTGTCTCCAGTGAATAAATGGTCAAAGTGATTAATCTCAAAAAGAAAAAAACACATTGGGAATTTTGTTGTTAATATTCCTCACATGGGTATAGCCATGGAGATGGGATTTTTTATATATATAATTGAGAAAAAGAAGATTCGAACTCTATTAAGAATTATAGAATAATTAATGAATTATAAAAATAGAATTAATAAAACAGTTTCTATGTAAATACAACAATTAAGAAAACATAAAAAAGATAACTAATTTAGAATTAGGGGCAATTCTTTTGTTCTAGAATAAAAAAGGACCCTAAACAGTCGAAAATGGTCGATTCTGGCACCTGTAATTGAATAAGGTGAAGAGGGGAAGGAGTTTAAATCTTGGACGGATCTTGACCCTAGGATGACCGTGAGGATAATTGAACGTCCTAATATATACTAGTAATTTGATCTACACGATTCTTTTCTGTTTTTAACTAATTGGCCTAAATGATCTTTAGTTGATAGACCTGAAGTGAAAATAATACAGCAACTACACCAAATTAAAAGTTATGGTGTGGCGATTAACTCATTTCATGAGTCCTTATTACTTTTATTCTATTGTCAATACCTGTCCTGTCTCCTTTGAAGATGATGAAGATTGAAGAGGAGATCCCAACAATCTACTAAAGAGAAACTCAATGCAGATGCTAAAACATTTTAATCCTGGCTCATAGAAAACATAATCTGGTACGATTTGAACCCATCTTAAATCATTTAGATTTTGTTATTTCATTCGTGTTAGACAGGGCACACGTATAAGAGCAAATGAAGGTTTACAGAAAAGATGAAAGACAATCTGATATTGCAAGGCTCTGAAGATTCTTTTCTAAGTTTGGTCAACATTCAAAACCTTAAAGCTCTCCTTAGGAATGTTGTTTATCAAGAAAAAAGCAAGTATCAGTTCGGTGTAACGTATGGCTGACGACCCTGAAGCCTGATATTCTGGTACTATGGATTGGTAAATGGTAATGATCCGTATGCAGCTGAGCTGCAGCAGCTGTACAGGGAAACATACATTTGTCGTACATAAATCATGGCTTCCCATCTTTCTCGCCTGTATAAATAGCTAGCTCAGTTCTTGATGAGTACTGCATTACGAATTTTTCTGTGGGGTAGTCTTGAGATGACTCAGTTTGCTTGTTGCACGCCTTTTCTTACTTTCCCTATGCTTTGCTCTTTGCATCCAGTCAGCACGTCCTCAATCGTTGCAGGTTAGGGTCCCCCTCTCCTTCACCTTCCACTGGTGGTGGAGGTGGTGGTAGTACTGGTGGTGGTGGCGGTAGTGGTTCATCAGGTGGCTCTGGGTATGGATCAGGAAGTGGCTCTGGTGGGACTAGTGGTGGTGGAGGAGGTGGCGGCGGTGGAGGTAGCAGCGGTACTGAGAGTGGTAGCAGTGGCAGTGACTTTGGCTTTGGCTGGAAGTGGAAACAGTGGTGGTGGTAGTGGTGGGGATGATA